GGTGCTATCAATTTTAAAGGGAAGGTCGGTATTTATATCTTTACTGAAAACCTTGACTGCCAACTATATCGTAAAATTTTAAATGAACAACTTTACGATAATGCTGATGCATTAGTAGGTGGACGATGAGTCTTTCAGCAAGATAACGACTCTAAGCATACATCTAGGGACGTTATGAATGATCTGAATACCGTCTTCCAAGACGTGTCCTTGCTCGGCCTTCACATAGCCCAGCTCTCAATTCTATTGAGAATATATGAGCTATTTTGAAGTATAATGTTGAGAAACACGTCAAAAAAATGATAGCAGAAAAAAAAAGTTTTAAAAATAAATTTATCGGTATTATTAGGGAGGAATGGGAGGGGATCGAAAAAAACGTCATAGTTAATAGCATCGGTAGCATGCAAAATCGAGGTCAAACGTGCACCGATGCTGAAGAAGCTCACACAAAGTACTAACACCATAATAAAAGTTATAGTCATACCATTTGGCTTTAAGAAAAAAAAATTTTTTAGAAATTTTTAATAAAGCGCATTTTTTATTCATAAAAAATTACGCGCCATTACTTCCGCCGGGGACTGTAGTTAAAGTTTCTGTTCGTAATACAAATTCTTATTTTAATTCGAATCGTTATTATTTTTCTATTTTAATTATCCGTTTTATTGGTTTATTCGTTTTATTCACTCCAATTCATAACGAATAAACAAATAATTCGAATAAATCTTATTCGAACTATTAAAATAGTAATAATGGTGAAATATTATAATAACAACCACTAAAGGCGAGATATTATATAATAACAATAATAAATAATAGTAATAATAACGATAGTAGCAGTGATAATAGTCATACCATTTGGCTTTAAGAAAAAAAAATTTTTTAGAAATTTTTAATAAAGCGCATTTTTTATTCATAAAAAATTACGCGCCATTACTTCCGCCGGGGACTGTAGTTAAAGTTTCTGTTCGTAATACAAATTCTTATTTTAATTCGAATCGTTATTATTTTTCTATTTTAATTATCCGTTTTATTGGTTTATTCGTTTTATTCACTCCAATTCATAACGAATAAACAAATAATTCGAATAAATCTTATTCGAACTATTAAAATAGTAATAATGGTGAAATATTATAATAACAATAATAAATAATAGTAATAATAACGATAGTAGCAGTGATAATATAATACCAGCAAGCTTAGTACCATCTGTAAGTTTTTCATCAACTGGGATTTATTTAGGTTCTTAACCGGCTAAAGTTTTTCTACCGGCCAACATCATTATCAAAAATAAATATTATGTTCATATTCCTTTTTTATTCGGATAATTTATGATGTAATTTTAGATGTAGGGTATTACATTGGTCTCTTTATTCGAACAATTGTGAAGAAGAAGAAGAATTATTATGAAAGAGTTAAAGAGTTAGTTGAGATGACAAGATTTTTCCTTTTAATATATATACGCACTTTTCCAATTTAGAATTTGGTGCTGTCCACGATTATTTTAAATATCGACATTATACGACCAAGGAGATGTTTTTTTCTTATCAATCGAAAAAGCAAATGGCACATTTATTGTTTGTTTGTTAAAATCTTTTTCATATTAATATATTAAATTTCAAATTCCCGAAATGATAAACATTTTAATAGATAAATATGGAATTCATATGGCAATAAAAAAATGTGACAACAAATCTATTATGTCATAACTTATTTCAAAGGTTTACTTGCTAATTTAAAAAATATGGAATTAGAAACTAGTGAGGTATTTAATAATAATAACAATAATATTAATAAATGTTGTTTGAAATTAATTTATTTATTTTTATTTTATAAAGGATTTACAAACATATTTTGACAATTTGGTGTTAAGGCAAGTTTGTTTTGAATTTACAAAAAATATTTCGATGAATTAATGAATTAATAGGATTAGTAAATGTGATTAATTAGCATTTTGGAATAAGCATGTATACCTTCATATAATATAATACTATTCTAACAGGGTGGATGGATTGAAATCTGTAACAATGACTGACAAAGATGGTGTTGCAATAATAAAATGTAAGAATCAATGTAAATCGATTAAAATTTCCAAGAATTGAAATTAATTTTTAATATTTGCAACTTTTCATTTTAATAATAATAAGCTGTAACAAATAATGCATCCATTAAAACATTTGAGCATATATTATCAGCGACTTTTGGAGTTATCAGTGACCAGGTAATTTAATTATGTAAATAGAATCCATGAGTGAGAAATAATCCATTCATCTATAAAAGAAAAATTATAATAAATTTGTAAAATTATTTAAATAACTTAGGCATCGAAATTAGGATTAAAAGAAAATAAATCTATAATTAGCCTTTATGGAATTTATCAAGTCATACAATTTAATCACGCACCATTAATTACTATTTTAATTGCTGATTCTGAAGCAAACACTGGTGAATATTATTATATTATATAATATACAATATTATTATATATATAAATACTAATATTATATATGTATATACACCATCTTATGGTGAAGGCGTATTATTAGATCTTGGAAATGAATTAAAAGAAATAGCAGATTTAATATCTGCAACATTAATTGAAAGACAAACATCAGCAACATAGTATATACTTTGTTATTATTTGTTATTTTTTAATTTTAAGAAAAAATATTTATATAATATTAAATAATAGTACAAAGAAATAAAATATATCAATAATAAGTTTACATGTGTTTGCAAACTAGAGAAAAACAACAGTAATAATAACAATAATAATGAATACCGATTCTTTTTCTTTGGTTTTCATAGACAAAAAAGAATAAATGAAATTTTGAAAAGGTGAGTGAGTTGACAATTAAAGGTGGGTTTTAAATTATTTTTTATTGAGAACAATTGGTACTACAAAAAAATTTTGATTAATTAATTGGTATGCTTCTTATTATAATATATATTTCCAATATTATATAAAAATTGATATTACTTACAAATAATAATCAATAATAAAATGATTATGGTAACAGCGATAATAATTCTCATTTTCATATCTTTCCACCACATTTGTTTTCGTACTTTATTTGCCCCACGACGAAATCCTTGTGCTGATACTGACAAATTTTCTATTTAAAAAAGATAGTGAGGAGATATTACTAATTATTTAAATTATTTAAAGTTTTTCTTTATTCTCCAACATAATTTCTTTACCGGTTTTATCTTGTAAAGTGTCTAATCTCTCTCCTCTTACGGCAACGGATTTAAGGTTATCACGCATAACTTCTACTGTCTCGTCGATTTTTTTTTGAATTTCTGCAGTTTTTGAAGGTGGTCCACCAGCAGCGCCCTCCTTAGGTACATATGGATCATATGAAGACCTGTTGAAAAAAAAAAAGATTATTAATGTCATTGGACAGTGACGATTTTAAGTAACATTCGTTCATTCAGTCAGTTAAACAAAAAATAATTATTTTCCATTGCAAACTAACTAATTAATCTAACTGATTTATTGATTCAATCTGCCCAAATAAAAATTTCAATATGCTTGGTTTCTTTTATTTCAATATAATAAAAATAATACATACATTATAAAGTATTTTTATTATTTCAATGATTTCTTGAAGAATGCTAGGTGCAAGTATTTTATTATTAATGGCAAAGAACCTTTTTGAAATTATTTTTTGAATAAAGTTTACGTGCACAAACTATTTATTATTATCAATCCAAGTACAAAATAACATCTTTTTATAAATAAAATTTCTGCTTATAGTTATGTTGTCGCACATCTTAAAATTTCTAGGGGGTAGCAGGACCCCGGAAACTATAGATAGGTTACTGGGGTGTATAGTGCAGGACACCTAGTCCCTACAACTTTTATTAGTCTTGCAAATCCTTTAACTCCTCCGAAAATGGAAATGTGTGACCTAAAAAACAAGATGTCATTTTGAAGCTAAGACCTTTTTCTACAAAATGACATTTTCATTTTGTTGAGATGCCATGTTGTTGTGGAGGAATTAAGCCTTAAAGTTGCACAAGTTTAACAAATTTACTATGTTAATCCCACAAAGTGACGTGTTACACGCAAATTTTTTATATTAAAAATGAACGAATTGGAAGAATTGAAAATTTTGAAATCTATATTGCAGATCATTTATCACGTGATACCAATAAAGAGAATGCAACGTGACAAATCTATTTTTAAAACACGTGACTGTAAAAATTTTATTGCATTTTTGATTGTGAATTTTTTCACAAATCTGTCGCTGTGGCGCAGAAAGTTGTAGGGACTATATACTAGGAAAAAAACCCCTTATTTACTATTAGACGAAACGAGTTTATATATAATAAAATATTTAGATGTTGGAGAACTGTACAAAATATCATTAGTGTAATGTTTACTTTCTTAACGATAATAGTTTCTCGAACGGTATTTTAATGGTTGTAAAAATACAAGTTAATCTTTATTATCTTAAGATGATGTCCTTTATATATATAAAATTACATAGATTGATAAAATATAAATAATAATATAAGATTGATAAAATATAAATAAAATATAAATAATAATAATCATAAGATTCTTATCAATCTATCCGGAAGATTTTGTGGACATAGATAATAATAATAAATATAATTAAAGACACGAAATAATTGATACAAATAATAATAATAAATGTGTCACGTTTCTAATGTAAATATTTATGTACCACCCCGATGTTACACATGACTTCGGAGTAATTTGTTACAATTAGTTTGTAAAAAATTAAAAGAAATCATATACAATAATCATTACTTTAATACTCAAAAAAATTGGTTTCACATTCAATATAAACACAGGTCTTGCCAAGATTATGGTAACAATATCATATCTTGTTTACAATTTAATGCCCAAAAAATTGTTTCTGCATCTGATGATTGGTGCATCAAAGTTTATAATACATCTAACAGTAAAATAATACATAGACTTGAATGTCATGAGGGTGATGTTAATGCATTACAATATATTAATACAGTATTAGCATCTGGATCAGCAAATAATACAGTTCGTATTTGGACCTTAAAGAAGGAATATGACTCATGTATTTTCAAGTCACACAAAGGCTATTATGTGTCTTCAAATAATAACACCAGAAAATATTATACTCACCAGCTTACTTAACTTCAAAAGTGATCATTCATATTGTTTCACTAAATCACTATCTGACAATAATCAACAATATCCCTTACATACTTTTTGTGGTCATACTGACTCTGTTAATGCTTTAGCAAGTTCAGGAAAAACTTTAATCAGTGGTAGTGATGATGGTACCATTAGAATATGAAACATCACAACTGGAGAATGCATCTAGTGTCTGCAACATTTACAAAAAGTTTGTTCTGTAGTATTGGATGTTAGAAGAAAAGGATGTATAAGCTAAGGTTTCTGGTCAAAACTGCTTCTATTAGTAGCTGAAATTGTCCAAACTAGTTTGGGCTTTGAGAAAACAGTTTGGACCAGAAACCTTAGTATAAGCAAAAGTGCAGATGGCATTGTTAAAATTTGGAACATTGAAGATGGTACTAAACTCCAAAGACTAAATTTATCATCAAATCATATGCATAGCAATATTTTTATTATTATTAAAGAAAATTTTTTTTTTATATATATTTAACATGATTGATAAAATATTTTAATATTATTTAAGCTCCTCTTCTTTGTTCAAGTCCTCCACTCTATCTTTCAAATGAATACTTTGCTTCTATCACAGCAATCATTATAATTCATATAATTGATTCAAATAATTACAAATGCAAACACTTGTTTGTAAATCCAGGACGATGTGCAGGATGTAAAATATCATGTTTCCAGCACAATGTAGATAAACTTATATGTGGTACAAATGAAGCACTGCATATATGGGATATGAAATCTGGCAAACGTGTTTGTGATCTATTGACTGGATTAAGTGTATGGTAATGTATTATCAGGAAAAAAAAATTATATACAAGTACTAATCAATCAATCAATCAATTATAGGCAAGTGAAATTTGATGAACAGATGTGTGTTGCAGCTGTACAAAAAAATTCAGAAACATGGTTTGAAATCTTTGATTTCAATGCATTATAATTGCTATTGTGTTTTTAACATAATATTATTGTTATAAGACAGATGTTATTCAAAAAAAAAAAATCCTCAAGATTATGTATATAATTTATAATTTGGGACGTTTCACAGCAAAAACCACATCTGGGGTCATCTGACCAAAATTGAGCTTTTTACATAATATTAATCTATAATATATAAATTATAATTGGTGAAAATATTAGACCCTATTTGCTTAATAAAAAAACGGGGAATTTGCAAACGGATATCTTCTTTAAAGTAATTTGCACAAAATAATAAATTGATCTGCACACCCCATTTTATTGTTACACGCAAAAATAAATTTTTTTAAAAAAATACATACATATTAATATCAATATACATTAAAATAAAAATCGATAAATATTAGGTTCTGGACAAAGAATATCTTTAAATGGGTCGGTCTTCTACATGTTGGCAAATTTTTGTAAACAAATATTTTTTTCTATCATCTGTTAATGGAACAACCTCAATAATATTTAATTGGCCATCCTTCTTTAGAAGTTTAAAAGAAATTTCCAAGCCACCAGATTTTTCAGAAACATAAACTTTTCCAATATCCTTACTACTAAAGCAAAAATGATGGTATTTTTTTATATTTGGTAATTTTCTGAAATTGTCATTAAATAGTAAGCTAAAGTCATACCATTTCCATCCCATACCATTTTTATATCTAATAGATTGATTATTATGATTTTTTGATGAATCATTTATAGCTTCTTCAACATGATCAACAGTATTTATAACTCTATTTCTATATACTTTTTTAATTGATCCAAAAAATCCATCACATGCAAATTCTTATGTACAATATTTATACTTATAAAATTGATAAATTAATTTTATTTATAAAATTTGGGCTATTATAATTTTTAGCATTACGTAGTTCGGATGTTATAATTTCTTGTTTACTAAATTTGGGATAATCAATGATCAAAAAATTTTAGGGGGCAATTTTCTTTTTCTGTGTAACAAATTTTGAACATGCGTTTACTCAAAATAATCTATTTTTCTGAGAGGTGGTTTTTGCTGTGAAATGTCCCATATGGTGACAGTTTTGAAATTGACAAATCTATATGTGTTACATTGAGTTGTCCCCCATACCCCTAGGTATTATTAAAATTTTCCTGTTGATCTTGTCGATCATTATCTCGTTTCAACGGATGTTTCGTTTCTATTTCAACGGATTTAGGTGGTCAGTCCCATAAATCCGTTGAAACGAGGTTTGATTGTATATGTTTATTTATATATATTTATTTATTTGTAAAAATTAGAATTATACATACTTGTTTTTTTTCCTTAAATTATAAAATTGCATTGCGATGTAAAACGGGTACCATTGCATAACCTTATTTCAAGATGCGCATTGTTACATTGCGATGTATATAATTTTTTTAATTTTAAAAATATTCAATTTGAAAAAATTACAAGTTATATAATATTAATTAAAACTTAGTGGAACAAAGATTAACACTGGAAAATTATAATAATGACGATTTCAAATGATGATGGTTTTGTTGATGATAATTTTACGTATGAATCAATGAATACTTCTGATATAATTCATTTGCTTCGAGTCCTTGCTTTAGGCTCCAGTAATTGATTTACTTTGATTAAATAGTGGTTTTAAAGGAAAAGAAAAAAAGGAGGTAACATAGAACATGAATTAAAAAAATATCACGGGATTTTTTTGAATAATCTACCATTTATCAAGTAAAAAAAAATCTTTGATCAACTAATATTTGACTGAGGATTTCTATAAAGATGCAAAAAACAACTAATTCCACATCGAATATACTATTACAACCGCAGATGTTCCATTGTTTGGAGTGTATGTTGTTATTTATTTTTTTAGATAGCTGTCTAGCAAAGTGTCACGTGCGATTAATGATAGGATTTAAAACTCCCGAGTGGTAGATATCTTGTTATCTATATATAACGATGCTAAATAACGGTGATTATTTTGATTGTGATTTAGAGGTTGGAATCGACTAATTTAATCGACCAATTAGTCGACTACTAATACTACTAATACTACTAATACTAATACTAATACCAATACCAATACTAATCTTAATACTAATACTAATACTAATACTAATATTTGCTAATATTGTCGTTGTCTGACCAATTACGATTTTTGCGTTTTGTCATTCAAAATGGAAATTTTTTATCAATACCATCAATATGATGATGACGACAATAGTAATGTGTTGTTGATGATAATTTTACATGTGAATGAATAAACACCTCCAATACAAGGTCCAATATTCAAGTTTCAATGATTTAAGCGGTGGTTCTAGAATACCTTTAAAAAAACGAATCGTAACACATAGTTTTGTGTGGAAGTATTTT